AAGAATGCATTTTAGTAAAAAAAATTTAATTCCACATAATTCAATAAATGGTTCTATGATTCAACTACGTATACTGTCTATTTTATAGCATCTGCGTTTGAATGTATGTGAATATGCCGTTTATTATAACAACAGCATGTGCTATTGAATCGAAAGCAATTTGTATTGTTTCAAATATACTTTTATACAAATTAAAAACACTATTTTTTTAAATATAACAACTTTTTTCTTTAATTATTGAGTACGCTTATTTGAAATCAAAGAATGTTTCTTTGATAAAATAAATTCTACTTTCATCACAACTACTTAAAATGTTTCTATAGAAAACATTAGGCTTTTAGTTTAAAATCATGAATTGTTCTATTTTAATATATTTTAATTTGATTCAGAAAATATGTTATTGTTTCAAAAAAATTGATTTCAATAACGTCGGCACTATTCAATCAATAGTGCTTTTTTCTCAGTGTATGCAGTCTAATTTAAAAATGTCTGAGATAGCTAATAAAAAAAGGTTAAATTTTTAAGATGTCAGTTTTATTTTGTAATTTAAAAGTTTAATACCGAAAGAGGCATTTAAGGTGTGTTCTTATTTATTTTTTTTGAAATTTACAATAATAGATTATTCGGTGACAAAAACTTTACGTTTATTAGACTTTTTAAGGTGGACTTTTTGCTCTATCATTATTCATTTGTTTACATTATGTAATAAAAGTTAAAGCATTAATTTAATTTAAATAGAAATTTGCTGAAATTCCTATATTTTTATTCAAATATTTTTTTATTTTAGTTCAACAGGATTCTTCATTTATATTAAAATCAAAGATTGAAAAAGAAAAATTAAAAATGTCAACATTTGTTACCAAAACATCGAATAATTTAAAATAACAACTAGATGAACAAATAGCTCGATACATCTACGCAACAAATTGGTCCTTTATGTCCGTTGAACATAAAGAATTCATAAAACTTATTAAAATGTTGAGACCCGGTTATAAACCTCTAAACAGACAACAAATTGGTGGAGTTTTATTAAATAGTATCTACGACGATGAGGTTAAAAAATGTGCTGCTACTTTAAAAAACGAAGCCGTTTGTTTGTCATTTTATGGACGGTCAAATGTGCATAATGCACCAATAATTTGTTCTTGCGTTACTACATTAAAATTCAATGTTTACGTTGTAGATACAATTGATACCTCAGGAAATTCACAAACTGGCGAATATTTGGCAAAATTAATCTTAAATACGATTCGGAAAGTACAAGCTAAATTTTTATGTTTTGTTAGTAGCATCGTTACAGATGGTGCTGCAAATATGAATTTAATGAGGGAAATTGTAACCGATTTCGAAAATAGTGCCAATAGCGAATTGTCGATGACAAGTGAAAATGAAAACCAAAGCAGTGAATTAGTCGAAAATTTAATTTCCTGTTATTGTTCAGCTCATGGGTTAAATTTGCTGGTTCAAGATTTTGAAATTACTAATGTTAGAAACCACGTCGTAAGAGTTGTAAAATACTTCAGAAACACTCATTTTGCTCGAGCTAAATTTCAAGAAATGAAATCTAAAGATAATAAAATCTTATCAATACCACAAGAAGTGGCGACTTATTTAAGCTTTTATGGTCCCTTTTAAAATTTTTTACAAAGTTTCCCACGTCTGATCATTTAAAACGAATCTATTAGGAATGCTCATAAGATCCTTCGTAAAATCTTACGTGGGATGCGTTTAAGGAAGCTCCCAGACAACATACGATACTGTACGAATTTGGTTCAGGCAATGTTACATGAAACTTTATAGTTTTCTATATCGTTTCCTACGTAGGATCCTACAAAGGATGTTACAAAAAATTAAAAGAAATTTTTATTTTTTTTTATTTGTCATTGTTGCCTTTCTTGTTTATCGATTTCTAGTATTCTAGAGAAATATTTCAAAATAAATTTTGGGGGACTGGGGATTGAACCCGAGTTCGACGCGCGCTAGCTAAAAACCCTATACACTAACCTAACCACCGACTGCGGAGAAAAACAAAATTTTTCCTCACACTCTGCAATCTAAAGTATCCCCAGTGTGCAAAGTACAGAACAGTTCTGTAACTGTTCTATAACAAAAAAGACCAAGTTTTTGAACTAGTGAGGAACAAATCAGTAAAAATGTCGTCCCCTTGGAGGCACAAAACAGTAACAGGATATGTAACAATTACTTCCGTGCTTTTGTGATGTTGACATGAATGATGGATAACCTCAAAATTTTTCCTGGAAACGTGCAATCGTGCTTTTTTGATTTGTTAAAAGTTAAAAATAGGAAAAGAACTAGGCGCAATTGCGCCTACATCTAGGGTTTCGTGGCGCTTTAAATTTTAATTAAAAAAAAATAAATCAAAAATAAATAATTTAAAAATAAATAATAAAATTTATTTTATAAATTTACCTAAAACATTAGGTAAAATGTCCATTCGATAATGTCCACTATTAAGACATGTCAACTATTGCGACATGTCAACTATTGGGACATGTCAATTACTGAGACAGGTCAACTACTGGGACATGTCAATTGTAGGGGCATGTTAACTAATGGGACATGTAATGTCCATTCATGTAATGTCCATTCGGGAAAATGTCCATTCAGTAAATGGAGATTTTAGATCTGTGGGGCCCCAAAATTTGAATTTGGGAGCTATGGTGCCCCAAAATTTGAATTTGGGATCTGTGGTGCCCCAAAATTCGAATTTGGAAGCTATGTTTGCCCAAAATTCGAATTTGGGATCTGTGGGGCCCAACATTTTGAATTTGGGATCTGTGGTGCCCCAAAATTCGAATTTGGGATCTGTGGTGCCCCAAAAGTTTAATATGGGATCTGTGGGGCCCCAAAATTTGAATTTGGGATCTGTGGTGCCCCAAAATTTTAATTTGAAATCTGTGCCCTAAAATATACTACGGACAGACGGACGCCAAAGTGAAACTATAAGGCTTTCGGCCATGGGCCACGAAACCCTAAAAATGAAAAACTCCTCATCAGAAGGTTCCGCGGATGAGGAGGAAATCCTAAGAAATTTCGACTTAGAAGCAAAACTCATTGTACAAACTGAAACATTGCCAAAGAAATCTTTCGACCGTCATCTCTTAGTGTATAACACTTACAAACAGTGGCAGAAAGATAATAAGAGTTTCCTTTCCAAAGAAGAAGAAAACAATTTGATTGTTTATTTCGAATCATTAAAAGGCAAACTTAAACCTCCTATGCTATGGAGCACTTGGAGTATGCTCCGAAAAACACTGAGTGTTAAAGGAAATATCGACACCCTGGCGCATTGGGAAAACCGAGTTGTAACCGAATTGGGTTACGATTCGGTTACGTTTCGGTTCATTGTGAAATATTATCGTTAATCGACGAAATATGTAGTAAATAACTATTAGGAATGGTTAACATACATTTAGAGAGCTTATTTATGCAATAATAATAATAAATTAAGATATAATTAATTAATAATAAGTGTTTTAAGTGTACAGTGCATACAGTTGTTGAATTACCATATATATGTATATTACCATCAGCGGCAGCTGTGATACGCGCGTTAAACCCTAGATGGCGTTAAGAATGACTTTGTGAATGAATTTCTAAAATTAAGCCCTTGAGTGTAAAATGTGTAAGTGAATATATAAGTTTTAAAAAAATAGATCAATTTATTAAAACAACTTTTTTAATTTGTACAAATATAAAAAAAATTATTATAATAATAATAATTAAACAAATAACAAAAATAATTTTAAATAATAATTATTAGTATAATAATAATAATTAAACAAATAACAAAAATAAACATTTTTTTTCTTAATAAAATTTTTTTTCATCAATAAAATGAGAAAGATTAATTTTGAAAAAAACTTTTTTCCAAAAAAATTTTTTATTTTTAAAAAAAATTTTTTTCATCAAAGAAATGAGAAACATTAATTTTGACATAAAAAAACTTTTTTGCAACACTAACCTCTAAAGTTAAATTTTACACACCGAAAAGTGTGTGTAAAGAAGCTCTTTACTGCACTGAAATTTACTTTACGCACTGAAATATTACTTTACACACTGAAATTTACTTTACGCACCGAAATTTCTCTCACATAATATAAGGATTGTTTTAGACCATACAAAACCACAAAATTAAAAAACGAACTTTACTTTTAAATTTATACATTCCTGCTTAATGATATTTTTCCTGATCTTCGATTGATTTTTTTAGTTCTATACAATCGAAATTATTCTAATAGAGAGTTGGAATTCTTCATAATAAGTACTTAACTTTAGAGGTGGGTATTGCAAAAAATGTTGTATGATACACGTGCGTAAATCTGATTATACTCGTGTGATTTGCAATTTAAAAAGTCTCATCAATGCCAATGCGAAAGGTTATAAACCGAAAAAGTCGCTCGTTTTAAGGTGGGATCAATTTTTGCAGTTTATAAACAACGCTTTGGATCATGTATATATAGCTATGAAGGTAATAATTATTATATTATACGCATTTTCTTTTCATAAGTTTAGGGCTGTAATGATTTAAGTCAAGGGCTGTTTATATTTAAATTAATGATTTCGTCATTAAAAATTAAAATTGATTGATATTTTGAAAAACAAGATTTTTTTATTGGTATTCAGAATAATTAAATTTTAAATAAATTAGCATTTGGAATAATTGATTTTTTATTTGATTAATATCCGGAATAATTGAATTATTAACTGATAAAATAATTTACACAATTGATACCAAAATTGTATTTTGTATTCCCTGACATTTCTCTGATTTTCCTGATACGTGGAAACTGTTTAATCTTTTTTAATTAAAATTAAATTTTGGTATTTTTATTATTATTTTTATCATTTTTAGTATTTTAAAAAACAACCCACCACTTAAAAATGAACATATAAAAAATTGCATTTAAAAATTTTATTAAAAGAATCTGATTTAAATAAAAGAAATAATCATTTTTAACAGCCCTGCATATTTGTATATTTTTTTCTGTTTAATTACATTACTTTTATTTTTGCAAGTTATACTGATTTTTGTAATCTGCAGGTGTTTGCGTTGCGATGAAATCACAAATATGAAAGTTGAAAATGTGGAAGACTTATGATACAAGTATTTAGTATCGATCAATGATAACAAAAATGATTATACAGGCCAATTTATCATTGGAAATCTTTTTTACGCGAAAGTGAAAACATACATTTCACTGAGACCACCTGGTCAATTCAGTGACCGATTTTTCGTTAACTGCCAAAAGGGTTAATGTTCTCACCAACCTATTGGCAGACATAAAATAGTCGAAGTTCCTGAAGCGATTGCTTCCTTTCTGGATTTACTTAGGATTTACTTAGTATTGCTTTCGAAGAATATCAGCAACGCTTCTTTCAAATTCTGGCGCAAATGTTCAGATGGTAAAACAATTGGGGAGATGGCGATCGGACATCAAAGCCCATGGATACGTAGAGCATTCAATGCACAATAGGCAGTTAATATATGATGGCGTTATTCAGAAAAGTTCATCAACAAAAGTTTATACGAAACCATCAACCAGCGTAGCAGTACCAAACGAAAATCAGATAAATGAATCTAATTACGATATATCTTGGTCCGATTTTTCTAAAGTTATCAATCCTGCCGACTTTCATCCACTCCTAAGTAATAACAAAATTCTCATAACAAAAATATTCTCATATTAATATATAAAAATTTTACATATAAACCTTTTTTCATTTATAACAAACTTTATTTTTAGATGGAGTTAATTCGATCACAGGAAACAAAGAGCAAATTCCTGAGCCAGTTACAAATCCAATTAAGTCCGATAATCGCAGATCTGAATTGGTTTCAGAAAATTCAGGTGCAAATTTGAATTTTGAAAATCATTTGCTGGTTCCGTCACTTACTTGTGGAAAAAGAAACAGGAATAAAGACTGGGACAATCAAACTCACAATGAAGTGAGCGCAAATAAATATTCGAAACCATTGACAGATGCGCAGGGAATAATCGAAAACGAGGATAACTGTATCAGTGATTTGCAATGTTCAGATGTTTTAGACGACTTTAACTCTGGTGGCCTTAATCCGGCTACAAGTAAATAAAAAAATGTTTAATTTTTAACGAAAATATAATTATATGACATTTTTCATTTTTTACAAACTTGTTTCAGGTAGAATTGTAAACAGTGGATTTACTACAGCAATTAAACAAAAAAGCGACCTGTCAGCTAGCAGAAACCAAGCACAATGCACACGCTTCGCAAGGTAGCCGGCAGGGCGCGTTGACGCAGGCCACAAAAGTAAACACATGGGTGAACGCAAATTGGCAGACATTCATGCCATTTTGTTAATTAAAAGTAATTACTAACCGTACTTTCGAGTGGGGATAAAAAAAATAGTATACGACACACGGCCAAAAAGTTGGAATATTCCTGTAATATATAATGGAGATCAAAGTGTCTGCTTCATGATATCTCAGTGATATTGGAAGAATATTCCAGTGATATTGAAGAAATATTTCCGTAATATTGAGGGAATATTTCACGGAAATGATTTTTAAATATTTTTATAGGTTGAAAAAAAATAATGATAAGAATAAAATAGTTTATAAATATTTTTTCTCAATTTTCATAATAATAAAGAAAATCAATTTTTGTAGAACATTCCCTCAGTATTACCCTACCGAAAGAGTGGTACTGGAATGGTACTGAATTGGACTTGGCTTGAGTTTCAATTCAGTACCACTACCTGATAACCCATAAGAAGACATTTTTAAAGTACTTTAACAATAGTTTTAAAGGTATATAAGATTAACAAACCGTCTCTCACGATATGCGTGTAAAACAGCAAAAAAAACATAATAGTTTGTAGAAAATTTCTGTTAAGTTTTGAAATTATATTGCAATCCCTCCTTGAACAATAGACCTCTAGGTCCTTTGTTGAAGGATTAAAATTTTAACCCGAGTTTTATTGCTTAAAAAATTTATAATTTTAATAACTCAACTTTAAAAAATATATATTGAGATTCGTTAATATTTCCAGATTATGAATATCTAAAATTTATCAAAAAATAATTACATTTAAAAAAGTTATAATTTATCTCGTATACCTTAAGTTTGACAAAAAAATGGACATCATTTTTGAATTTAGCTGCCAAAGGACATATCATATGCATAATAATGTATGAAAATAATATAAATCCAGGAAAAACAAATATAATATTGAAATAAATATAAAGTATTAGTTTAAACATATTGAAAAAGCTAGTCGCTTCTCACTTCTCACTTACCACTTCCTACTTCTCGTTTCCCACTTCTCACTTCCCACTTCTCACTTACCACTTCTTACTTCCCACTTTTCACTTCTCGCTTCCTACTTCTCACTTTCCACTTCTCACTTTAACTTTGCACTTCTCACTTTCTACTTCTGAGAAGTCGGATGTAAAAAAAGGATGTGAGAAGTGACAAGTGAGGATTGGTAAGTGAGAAATGAGAATTTTGAAGTTAGAAGTGGGAAATAAGAAGTGGGCCCTGTTGAAAATTCCTATGTGAGAACACATATGGGATCCCATCCAGGATCTCTTGTGAGTTCTTATGTGGGTTCCCATACAGGTTCACACATAAGATCCTGTATGAAAAGGTTCCTGGGATGAACTTGCGTGAGAGCTCGCGCATGATCTTATGTCTCTGTAAAAGCAATAACACAGGATCCCATGAGGTTTCCTGTGTAGGTTCCTATATGAACAACACGATAGGATGCTAAAATACACGTGTAGTTTTTGCATAGTGGGAGTAATAAATTAATAATATAATTCTAATTTTCTCATGATCATTTATTCCCGTGCAGAAATTATGGTCTGGGCCTCTCAAGGCCCTTCCCAGTACGCCTGGATTCTGACAAGGACCTGATATGGCAAACTGGCAAGGCCCTAGTAATGGCTTGAAACGGTTTTGCAAGGATTTGCCCTACTTAAGGATGAACTTGCCAGGGCCATGAGAGTTTTCCTGGGAATTACCCTATATTTTGTGACAAAAAAAGCAATCAGTGAAAAAAGTACTACAGGCTTATAATCAGTTATAATGAGTAATTGTTTGAATCAGTAAGCAACAAAAACTTGTTACAAAACAAAAACAGAAAAATGCACAATTCTAGCCTGACAAATAATAATCCTAAAGTCGACCCAACTTCAAATATGTAGTAACACCAACACTAAACAAAAAAATTAAATATGGAATTAATTATACAATTAACACATTATTTATTACTGGAGACCTTATATTTACCCCTACCTTTTTATTATTTAACGCAATCGCTTACATAAATTTTAAAAAATATTTAACGCTCGCTGGGATGGAACCCCCCAACCTAACGCTCCGTAATCTCACACGCTCCGTAATTACATTACGCCAACTTAACGTGAGAAAATAAATACAAAATTGATTTGATAAGTTGCGACTGAGGAAAATGAAGACGTGAGCAGCAGAACAATAAAGAAACAATAATTATATATAAATTATAATTTATTTTTAATGTTAAATAATTTATTTAACATAAGTCAATATTTTCATTTTTTTATTTTATTAAAACTTAGGAACATAATTTTTCTTATTATCTAAAATACAGATAATATAGTAAAAAAAAGACAAATAAATTTTAGTTTTTGTAAAGAAAAAATCACTTATTTCTTTTGAGTTGTTGATAAATTTCTTAGATTAAAATTGTTAATTTTTTTTTTTAAAATTAACTTAATTAATTTTTCTTTAATTTTTAAAAAAATTAATAATTTTAATAAATAAATTATTTTATTTTATTTATTTATTTAATTCTTGTTTATAACACATCGTGTGTATACAAGGAAGTTTCGCTTATACATGTAAAAGAAAATATAAATATTAAAGTCTCGTAAAACAAAAAAGTGAATAAAAGCACTGAAGAAAAATATCAAACCAAAAACAAATAGTGTGCCATAGAAATTAAAATCAAAATAAAACTAAAATTAACATTCATACAATAGCAAGCGGTCCTTAAAAACTAAAGTTAAAATAATGATAAAACGCTTAATCAAAGTTCGGTCATTCGACGATAAAACATTTAACCACGCAACATTAGAAGGGAGAATACGAAATTCGTCTTTTAAGATCGCCTCAAATATGTGACCGCAGGCTGGACAGGAAGCCAGAATGTGAAACAAACTCTCCTCTTCCAAATTACAGCAGGCGCAAATAGCATCAGGGTAAAAAGTAAATTTCTTTTTGTTAAAAACAATCCTACAGACGTGCCGATTCAGAAGCCTGCACTGAGCAAGGATCTTCTTGAAAAATATCGGCATCAACAAATTCAGATAGTCCTGGGTCCCTTGCTGCAACAAGAGATGAGGATAAATTATTAAGCTTTTAGAATTACTAAAAGAAGCCAAATCAGGAGCCCGAACTTATCTTTCATAAGTATCCAGAATCAATTTTTCATTAAGATTGAACGATTGAGGAGACATCTCGTTCCACAGATCTAAAAGACCGCAAGGTTCAAAAAGAAATATTCTTAATTGGTTCATCCAATTTAGTCTGTTAGAAGGATTGCGTCTACTCAAAAGCAACAATCTCTCAAAACAAACTCTAGGATACCGTGAACTTTCCATCGTGGAAATTTTATTTATCCACGATAAGGAGTACTTGAATATCTTATGCGCGAGATGCAAACAACCCGTCTCCAGTCTCACCGCGTAGTTCGGAGTGCAGATAGGGAGATTTAAAAGATTCCTAAAAAAGGTCAGTTGTACTCTCTCCAAATTATCCAAGAAACAGATACCCAAAATGTGACAATTATAAAGCAGAGTACTCAACGCAAGACTCTGAAAAAGATTAGTACAAGATGTCCACGATTCTATTCCGACAGAATTAATTGTTTTTATAACAGAACCTACCGCAGTATTAGCAGCACTAATAAATTTACTCGCTGCAGACGCAAAGGAACCAGAACTTTGAAACGGAACACCCAAGTAAACATACTCATCAACTACCTCGATGCTACCATTGCCAAACTTAAATGACTTAAAATTTCTCGCTTTAGAGTTACCAGATTTCGTAAAAATAACAATTTTGGTTTTACTCACGTTAACAGTCAGTTCATTCAGTTTACAATAATCATATAAAGCATCAAGTTTTTTACGGAGCTCCGTTGGTGAGTCGGCTGAAAGGACATAATCATCCGCATATCCTAACATTAGTATTTCCGACGATTTATTTACAGAAATTCCCCTGCAACCGCGCTTCTTCAAAAATTCTTCCATATCAGAAATGAATAGCAAAAACTCAAGAGGGCTAAGCACCTCTCCCTGAAGAACCCCTCGCGTGACAGAAACCATGTTGGTAAACCCCTCATCGGTCCTAATACAAGTTGATGCTTTAGAGTAGAAGTCTTTCAAAATATTAATTATTTTCGTACTAAGTCCCAAAGAGTGAAGCTTGTTCCACCACAGTTGATGAGATACCGATGGAAAGGCTCCCTTAAAATCAATAAAAGCAGCGTAAACAACCGATCCTGGAGAACTCAAATGAGTTTGAATAATTGATGATAAACAAAAAACATTGTCCAAACAACTTCTACCCCTCCTAAAGCCCATTTGAGATTAAGGAATAAGGTCAAGTTTATCCACCCACGTTACAAGACGATCACAAATTATTTGTGTGAAAATTTTCGCGATACAATTAACTAATGTGATAGGTCTATAGTTATCTGGAATTGACGAGTCACCTTTTTTGTAGAGCATGAATGTGGACAATTTACCCCACTCTAGCGGAACCTTTTCTGAAGCCAAAATCTTATTAAAAAGGTTATTAACAAACAAAATCCAATTTTGAGGTAAACTTTTTAAAAAATTGTAATTAATCCCATCCAATCCGGGAGCCTTTCCATATATGCATTTCAAAAGACAACTATAAATCTCGTCAACTGTTATGCACCCATCGAGCTCAGGAACAGAATGCAATGCTACAAAACTGTTTATAGAAGAGATAACCGAGGTCTGGGGATAACATTCTTTTAAATAAAAAAATCAAGTGTCAATGTTAATATTAGATTGATGGTTAACACGAGGACGGGTATCGTTAACAATCTTCTAGAACTGTGAAGGGGATTTACTATTGTTTATTGCATTTAAACGATTAGGAGCGAACTCAGGGTTGCCACGCTTTTACTTTCTCAAAATTCCATGACTTTTCCAGGTTTTCCAGGTCAAAAATTGTATTTTTCCAGGTTTTTGAAAGTACAATTATTATTTACCAATAATTAAACAATTTGAATACATTTTAAAACACATTTTAAATACATATTAGATACATAAAACTTTCACATAAAACTATATTTTAACCAATGCAATAATTACTTAATATTTTTCATTTGG